TTTATATTTCTTCTATTACTCAGTAGTTTTTATGGAGGGTTTTATTTGGTTTCCAGGTGTTTGCTCTTTCCCTTTAATCTTCTTATTATTGATTTCTAATTTTATACCATGGTGATCTTAGAAGATGCTTTGCAGTATTTCAATGTTTTCAAATTTATTGAGGTTTCCTTCATGGCCTAATATATGGTCTATCCTGGAGAATGTTACATATGTGCTGCAAAAGAACATAAGTTGTAATGCTGTTGGGTGAAGTGATCTGTAGATTCAATAAGATCAAGTTGGTGGATTTTATTGTTTAGTTCTGCATGTTTGTTGAGTTTCTTTCAAGTTGTTTTTTTACTGAAAGTGGTGTATTAAAGTTTCATACTATTACTGTGGTGTAATCTGTTATTCTTTTCAATTCTGTTGAAATCTGATTTATGTCTTTTGGGGATCTTTAATTGGGTTTGTAGATATTTATTATGGTTATGACTTCTTCAGTTGATCATTTAGTCATTATATAATATCCTTCCTTATCTCTTATGGTCTTTTTCTCTTAAAATCTGTTTTATCAGAAATTAAAATTGTCACTCCTGCCCTCTTGGTTGCCATTTGCCTGATTTTCTTTTTCTAACCTTTGATTTTCAGTTTATGTTTGTCTTTGTGTTTAATGTGACTCTCTTGTACACAGCATGTTGGTGGGTCATGCTTTCTTATTCAATTTGCCACTCTTAGTCTCTTGAGTGATGGATTTAATCCATTTACTTTCAGTATAATTATCAACAAGTATTAATTTATTGATATCATTTTATTATTATTTTTTATCATGTTGTTGCTGACTTCTTTGTTCCAATAATTTTCTGTGCTGAGCTCATTTTGTTTATGAATTGTATTTTCATCTCATTAGTTGCTATTGTTTTATTATTTGTTAAATATTTGTTCCTGTCCATTTTTTTTTTATTTTGATGTGAAGGTTTATTATTTTTCTTTGAAGTTACTTAGTGACCTATTTTCTTCCCAAGTTTAAAACAGTTTATTCTATCTCAAAATTGTCTTGACTCTCTCATCTTTTAAATGTTTGAAGTTCTGTAACTACACTATTTATTCCTTCTGTTTGTTTTATAGTTGACCTCGTTTAATAATTGATGTCTCTGGTTTCTGGTTCCCTGTTTACAGTCTTACAAGCTTATTTTATTTTG